AGCTCACCTCGCATTCTTCGCACGCTTCCGCTGCTCACTGTGTAGTCCTCATCCACCAGCGGGTACCCTGTGACACAGCACTACCGTCAGAAACACCCGGCGATTGGCGAGCCAAAACTCGCAAATATCACTCTTGCTTTCGTTTCTGGCAGCGGGCAACATGGATAGCATTTTCAAAAGCGGGCCTAAGATCGGTTTCTCACCTGCATTTGAGCGGGAGTGTTTCGTACCGGATCTGACCAGGCTCCGTGGCTCTTGGGCCTAGCTAGCGCATCCATCAGCGCACGAGCGGTTGCGGCTCTTCATGGGTCAGATCGAGGATTCGTCTTGACAACAAATGGCAGCCCAACACGAGATCAGCAAGAATGGTCCATCCACGACGGTCACGCGGCAATGTCGTTTGGCCACCCGTTCATCCATGACGTCGCTTGCACCTCGACATCACTTGCCCGTCGCGCCACAACGACGACAACGCACCACCAGGAGCGCGCGCGCGCCCCGCCCATGGCCCGCTTCATCGTGGTGTCAGTGAGAAAAAAAAAAAATGAAGTCAACTGCAAAGGGAAGGATATAGAGGCAAGAGGTTAATGAAGCAAAGCTTCAATTAATTGAAGCTGATCATAGCCATTCCAAGTAAAAAGTCGCAGTCGTTTCAGCAGTTATTGAAGATAATAAAGATGATGACATTCTGACATTCGGTTCTGTGTTCTGATTCTCAAAAGAGCTTCCTGTGTGTGTTTAGCGAAAACTGTCGAGGGGGCCGACTTGGGCTTTCGCCTCACGGCGGAGCAGGATCCTCGCACTTTCAAACACAAATTCCACAAGACGCCAATGCCCATCCCCTGGAGGTAGACCAGGAACGGGCGAGTACAGCCACTCGACAAACAAGTCGCGCGTTTTTAAATCCTTCAATGTCTGTACCCTCAAGTTGTAGCCCATCCGTTTTGCCAGGTCGCGCAGCCCCGAATGACAGTCCGAATAAAGGAGGAGACAGCTCAGGCCCGAATCCAGTCCTTGAGACTGCCTGCAACGGTGATTCCGTGTATCCCATCCACGAATCATACTTGGCATTCCACAAGCGTAGCAACACGTCCATTTGGGATATGCGAAGCCCACGAAACATTTGCTTGCCTCATGTCCTTTGAAGTGACACCGCTCACAACCACGATTAGATTCGCATCGATGTCCAGCCTTCAGGACAGGTTTCGCCTGTCGAATGGTACATCGCATACAGTAATCATCCATCAACTTCAGAACGCCAATAAACTTGTCAGCCGCCGCGTAGTTCATCAGATATTTTTTTTTTGTTCCTGATTTCGACCGAAATATTGGCGCGACGTTGTGCCGATTCGGTGGCGTAGCCGCAGCAGATACCGTGGCTTCAGAGCGAGTGGTAGCAGTAGCGGCAACGGTAGCGGTGCGCGTGCCACTCGATGCTGCTCGTTTTGCTGCGGAAGAGGCGCCTCCGCTGCTTGCGCCGCTGTTGAAGAAGCAGCAGCTGTGCTCGTGCCATCCGATGCCGATCGCTTGGATGTTGAGGGCGCAGGGCTGGTAGCGATGCTGTTGCCATCGTCGTCATGATCGTCAGACCCAGGGGTAGATGTACTTTCAGCTGCCAGCGGCACTCGCTTACGCCGCAGTGTACCCGAGGCTGAGCTTGCAGCCGATCGCGCCGGAGAGGAGGTTGAACCCGAGGCCGATGGTACTGGCACGCAAATGATCGAGGCCGACGGGGTTGGCGTGTGTTTCGTGGGGGTTGGCTGTGCTGCTGACTGCATGACTGGCTGTGGCGTGCTCTCGCCCTCTGCCAACGTGGTTTGCTCCGGGTCGCGCGCCTCTTGCTGTATAGGCGCCTCGTCATCAGCATCAGAGACCATGGGTGAAGCTGGCACCGACATGGATGCTGTATCTGCCTCATCAATCCAAGCATCACTCGTCTGTATCCGTGGCACAGCAGCATCCGTCATTGGCCCTGCATTTGTCGCCACCACAGCCGTGTCTTGGGCACGTGGAGTGCTTCTGCTCGACTGCGCTGCAACGGCAGCTGATCCTGGGGATGCTGCCGTGTCAATGTTCGATGCTAAAGTTACATCCAAGGTGGACCCTGGCCCGATCGATTCTTCTTCCTCGAGCCGTGCTGCAGGTGGCTCAGACAACACATCTTCCTCCTCCGCCATCGCCTCGGGCTCTGCTTCCACATGCGCCACACTCAACGCTTGGGCAGCGCGCTGCTGGCGCGCAGCTATTGCTGGCTCCAGGCGCTGTGCTGTTCCTGCGCACACGTCACAAAGCGGCTGGCCGGCAGCAAAGCATGTCGCGGCGCGGGGATCTAGCAACTTGCCGAGCGCCCAGCTGCGACACGCATTGCCCTCGACAAACTTTTCCATGCCTGGTGCTGGCCCACGTCTCACTGGTAGCCACAGCTCGGCAGTTCCACCCTGTTTATCGCGACCAGCCCGACCAAATGCCTAGCCCAAGCACATGTACACCATCAGCAAAACCAACAAGTTGATTTTTTTTTTTTTTTTAATCCATACAGTAACACGACCGTTTGAGCAACAACGTACCTGGGCCAGCGTATAGACGTTGTAGCCGTTGCCATACCACAGCACGTGGCGAATGGTGAGCAGATCCACACCCGTGCTGAGGCAGCTGGTGGCCACAATGACGTCGCATTCACCCCGTTGCCACTGTACCACGTGGTCCTTTTGCGCCTTCTCCTCCAGGTCGGTGTAGTAGGGCAAGGCCACGTAGCCGCGTGCGTGCAGCTGGTCACACAGCAGCTTCACCTCGTTCACAGTGTCACAAAAGACCATCATGTGCACACGCTCCCCATTCGCCTGACGCATCACCCGCTGCGTGTCCACAATGGCTTGCACATGCGACAAAAAATCAAGCTGGTTTCCGTGAAGCACACGCAGCTGCAGATCGCGACGCATCGTCTCCAGACGGTACACCTTGCCCCCCACTTGCTGCCCCAGCTTTCGAAACAGATGCTCCTGGTCCCCGATGCAAAGTGTGCCCGTCAACGCCACGCGTTTGATGTTGGTCCATCCGCCAGAACCCACACTGGCTGCGACTTCGTCCATCACATCTCGGTAGCTGGCATCCGAGATGAGCGTGTGCGCCTCGTCCATCACCACAGTGCGGATGCGCTGAAGGCAGACCTTTCCGTGTAGCGATGCAGATCCCACGCGGACAAACATGTCGGTCGTTACGATGAGCACGTCCAGGCCATCTGCCACCTGTGTAGAAGGACCAAGCCATCGCTGGGCACTGTGACCTGCGCCTTGAAATCGCCGCAATAAATCGTTGGCCACGGCCACAAACGGCACAATCCACAGCACCGTACCGGCATGCGGGCGACAGCCCAGCTTGGGCAGGGTACAAAATGTTTTACCCATGCCTGTCGGTGCAACAACAATCAGCCATCCATCTTCCGGCCGGTGCTAATCAATGGCCGCAGCCAGGTCCAACTGTTCTTGGCTGTTGAAACTGTGGCCCCACGAGATGCTTGCCTGCTTGGCCATATTGAAGAACGATTCGAGCTGAGACAGTAAAGCGGTTCAATTGCACTTCTCTCACAGGAGAGAACGATAGAAAACAGAAAGAGAAATATCCAAAAGAAAATGCCACTCACGGTCAGCGGGACCATACTTATAATCTGGTGGCTAAACACACCCAGAGTGTACGAGAGGGTTCCTCGACGGGCGGCAGCTGCAGCGAACAAGACTGTCTCGATAGCTGGTGTCCACGAGCATTGTGTGAACTTCGTCCATCACTAGCATGGCCAGACGCTTCTGCTGCACGAGAGTTTGCACCCACCACATCCCATGGCCAACCAAAAAGTCGACTGTCATGACAAACACTTGCACGTTGACTTGCATGTCACGGCCATCATTCTTAGCCCACTGCGATACAATGTTAGCCAGTTCAAAGCGGCGGCACAAGTCTCTGGCAAGCTCACGAAGCGGCACTACCCACACCACGACCTTGCGTGGCTGGAGGTGAGCGAGCGTACACAGTGTTTTGCCCATTCACGATGAAGACGTTTCGGCTTCCCTTTTTTTGGGGGGGTGGGGCGGGGGCGGGGGGTGGTGATTGCTGGACTTTTCTACTTCAGGCGTTTGGCAAAGCCCTTCTGTGCATTTGACTTGATTTACTGATTGCATAGCATTTGGAGAATGATCTGTCTGTGGTCAGCTCGCCAAGCAAAAATAAGAAATAGAAACGGGAAAGGTACAAAGCAAAACAAATAAATACCACTTCCGGTCGACAGGACCGTACTTACATCTCGGTGACAGGAACAATTACGATGTTTTACAGGTTGCCTTGACGAGCGCCATCAAGGATAATCAAATATCATCCTGTAATGGATGATCACGATTGCCAGGACTGGCATCTTCCAGTGTGATTCAGTAACTTCTGGACATGCCTCTATGCTTGTATTCCAGTCATGAAACACCGGCCTTGCGATTAGCACTCCTCCAGTCGGCAAAAATTCAAACTAAAGCGTGCCTTGGCCCTTTTACCAATCCGGGTTCTCAGATTTTATTTTATCGCACGCTAAAACCAAGATTACTGTCAGGCTCCAGCACGTCTGGAGGCCGGTTTTGGGTTTCGAGGAAGCGCGTAGATTTGAGGAAGCGTTTTGAGAGAGGTTTGAGAAACGTCCGTCGGAACGGAGCGAAAGCTTTGGTGTCTTGAGGTCAATTGAACCAGCTGCGGCAAGCATTCACAGTGACCAGACCAGGTGCACCGTTAGAATCGCTGTAGAGCCGCTCAATCCCGAGGATAGGGAAAGAACACAAGAGGGCAGAGCACACGGGAGAGCAAGGAGAAGACAGAATGGCAGGGGGCTTGTCGTACCTGCGGTCGGCAAGCATTCATAGTGACCAGACCAGGTGCACCGTTAGAATAGCTGTAGAGTCGCTCAATCTCGAGGATGGGGAAAGTGCAACTCGTGCCCGACCGCAGGTGCCACAACAAAGGGTAACAACAGTAGTGACAAGCTGATGGCGTGTGCCAGGAATCGGGGGTCCAAGTGTAGGTGTGTATGTGTGAGGTCACAACAGCTATGGGGGTCTCAGTGGAAAGACCCATAGTGACCGAAACTGAGTGTGCGAAAGCTCAAATGCATGGAAGCACGGATTTGACGCGAACAATTACCCCACCTTTTTCACATGCTTGCGGTGCTTCCTGCAAAATCTGAATCTTCCTTGGACGACTCTATGACACACCAGCCCTGTTATTTGTAAACAGCTCTCCTCCCCTGCAAACGGCAAAAGCTCGAACAAAAGCGTGTCTTAGCTCCATGACAAATGACACCCTGTCACGCGGTGGACTACCTGACGACGCCGAGAAGACCATTTCCACTGTTTGAAGGCCAGTACACTCATTGCACAATTTGATCGCATCATCGAATCGCAAATCCTCCAACGCCTTGATCAGATTCTCACGGGCACCATTTGCCACAAGAATGCGCTCAGCCACGCGAGCCAATGCATAGCCATCATGAGACTTTTCGATCTTCTCATCTGGGCGAGCATCAGGGTGACGGTAATGCTTGAGATTGCCTGTGTAGTTGTAACCAGACACATATGGTTCGCCTTCATGGCGACTCAAGTCAAAGTCAATCAGGAAAGCCACCGGCGCCTCTGCTGTCGCTTCTTCAGTTGTCGCGGCCGCTTCCTCTGAGGGCGAGGCCATTTCCGCCGAGGCCACTTCCGTTGAAACCACTTCTGCATTCTGTGAGGGCGCTCGACTTGGGGACGGCGGTTCATCCTCGTCGTTGGTTTGATCTTCCATCTTCCAGCCTGGCGGCTTGGTCATCCAATCCTCCAGCTGCCAGCTGTTGCAAAAAAGTATGTTGCGGAGCAAGATGTCGCCGTGCACAATGTCAAGCTTGTGCAACGCTTGCACCTGCTCAACAACGCTGGCCAGCTGTTTGTGCGCATTGCGGCCGCATGGAACTGTCTTCACCCGCGGGTATCGGAGGAGCGTCACACCCTCCGCGAGGGTTTCCACCACCCACGTCTTATAAAATTTGCCAGTCTTTTCCAACGCGCCAAGCGCTTCCAGCAACTTGCACGGTGGCTCGCGAACATCCGTGGGAGCAATCTGGTACAAAGATGTGCTAAAAGCCCCAGATCGGCGACCCCAGTAGTCGTAGTGCTTGAGGACCCACGACTCCGACTGATGTTCATAAAGCTGCACATTGGGCCCATACGTGGCGCCACAGGTCCAACCTTTCATGCCCCGATCCGGGCAGGGGAAGGGCTCGCGGTCGAGGGTCAGTTGGGGCGTACTGCCAAGACCGTCTTCGATAATGCTCGGCAGACGCTCCGTGACAAATTCCTTGCAAGCTGTCAAAAGCGCCCAGACAGCTCGCTGGTCCTCGGGGTCAGTCGAAATTTTGGCGGATCCAAGTCGGAGAAAAGCCAGATAGTATGCCTTGCTGTTTTTGGGCAGGCCCTTCATGTCTGCAACCATCGTAACCTCCTCTGGGCGCGTCACGTGCAGGACCAGATAGGCGGTCACAATGTCCTTACACACGTTGATGTTGGTGAGAGGATAGAACAGGTGTTGTCTTTTCTGTCGCATATCGTATTCCGTCGGCAGGAGGCCAAGCCGCACAACCTCGTTGCCCACTTGGCCACCAAAGTCGTCAAAGTGTTTGCGTTCCATTTTGCAATCGCCCATGACAACCGGATGCCACTGGGAGTCAACTCCCAGCCAATCAACATGCGTGGTGCCGCTGCCGATTGATGCCTGGTGTGAAAAGTGCACGACCTTGCTGACTGGTCCCTGCTCAGGGCTGAGTACAGTCGTGACAAAGTGCTCGTGCAAAGCCGGTGTAATAACCGCCGAGAAGTAAGGCTCGTGCCTAAGGGTCGCGTGCACATGGCTGAGGCGCGAATATGCGGATATCAAATCGGTATGGATGCCTTCTTGAGGCGGAATGACAGCAGGAGACAACAGCGCTTCAGCTTGCTGAACGATCTCAAGGGCCAAGTAATGAGAGCTCGGAGGCAGCACCACAATGCCAAAGATCTTGTCATTGCTGTTGATGTCACTAATCCTTGGAGTCTCGGAAGGTGGCTTTACAGGCAAATAAGCTGCTGCCTCAATTGGAGACGCCTTTCGAACCCAAGTGTGCCCTGAAAAACAACAATAAAACAACATCAAAAAAAATGACACAGTGGTGAATTAGAGCATCCAGAGGGCACAGACGGGCAGGCGGGGCAGTCGGTCGACTTTCAAGCCCGAGCGAAGCTTTACCATGAATGTTCAGATGGATCTGAAGATATTCACGAGTGACTTTGCCAACCTGGCATCGATAGCATAGCAAAGAAAAGTCTTGGGCTGGCATGCTTGCTAGAAGATGATTTAAAAGGGTATAGCTTTGAGGAAGCTCAAAATGGTCCTCAAGGAACATGAGCTGAAAGCACACCAACACCGACAAGTGAGGCGTTGCTCCATCCTTCATCTCAGACAATTGCATTGTGCACAGCGGGTGAGTGAGGGCGAGAGGTCGGATATTGATGAACCAACCACTTTGTCCCGCTGCTCCTCCTTCTCCTTGCGCTCACGCTCCTTCTCCTTGCGCTCACGCTCCTTCTCCTTGCGCTCACGCTCCTTCTCCTTGCGCTCACGCTCCTTCTCCTTGCGCTCACGCTCCTCCTTCTCCTTGCGCTCATGCTCCTCACGCTCCTGTTTGCATATCTGCACGATAGTGCTCTCGTCGAAATTCAAATCCCGGAGCCGCCGCGCAAGTGCAACCACGTCCAGACCCGCACTCATGCTTGTGCGTCACGCGTTCGGCACAACAAGCGGAGCCACGGCCAATCGAGCGGCGATCGAGTTGGGAGAACGTGCAAAGAAAGACGAAAGAAAAAAAACGGTGATAATGAGTCGAAGAAAGAAAGAAAAAAAAACAGTGACAATGAGTCGATCAGAAGAAAAATGCTCCATCAGCATCAACTGTACTTCCAAACCTCAGTATTGGATCTAAAAATAGAACAATTTGTGGCTATTTTGCTTTTTTGTGAGAGACATGGAAAGGAATGGAGAGCGGGGAAGAGAGTTGGTGGGATCGAAGAAATCCCAGGGTTGCAGAAAGAGGAATAAACAGAGGTACAGCGAGATGGAGATACAAAAGGCAGATATTAGTGAGCGTCGAGATTGAAATGCAGTTGCTGTCTTGCTCAATCAATGCCGTTCTGCCTTACGCGCATCCTGTCAACTTTGAGTTGGCGTTGGACGGCTTCTGTCTTTACCCTAACCCCAAGCTCTTTGATTTACACAAGCATCTCGCCTTTCCTTGGCCATGAAGCACGTGATTGATGGATCTCATCAGGGGGGCAAATTATACCGCCATGTAATTACGAGCGTATAATTAGATAGATGATGAGCGCCATCATTGTTTGCAGCGCCCTGCTTTGACTTCTCGGCCGTGTACGCCACAAGAAGAACTCGGGCAAACACTCGTTTCGATTCTTGGAAGATAGTACATGAGCTCTTATGGTCACTGTCCTGTCCTGTGTCTTGGCTGTCGTTTGCCCTTTATCATCAGACCAGCGTCTGATGATGCCTTTGGACTATGTTATTGTATGCATTGAGCTGTATCTGCTCGCGATAGCAAGTACTGCTTTGACATTGAACAGTCCAGCGTTTTGATTAATCGACAAGGAACAGGAGTGTTGTTTAGCCATTGCAGTGTTGCTTCCGCGGCACCATGGCTACTTGACGAGCGGGTACGTGTGGGGCGAGCGTAGCTGCGCGCGTCGTCAAAAACCGCGCACGCGTAAGCGGCAGCGCTGCCTGTAGCATGCTTGTGTTGGGGTGGGATAGGGAGCTGACGAATGCAATGGGCACGGGGGGCAAACTGGTCAAGAGACTCTAGCAGCGGTGATGGCATTGGTGTGCATTTTTCATACTCGATCGTCATGTGCGTGATACCTGAGAGTATTAAATTTTATTTTTTTATCTGCATGCAACACTGCTGCGATTGTCATGGCAGCCTGATACCATTCTTTGTCTGTCATGTTTGACGTGCAAACAGCAGTCATTGCCATATCCATCAAGGCATCCAAGAACCTGCCACTCAGATCTAGGCGTCCAACAACGCTGCGACGCTCAGTTCTTGCAGTGCACAATCTTGAAAAGCGTCTGGCTCCACGCGCCAGCCTACCCCAAATAAGACTGCAATCAAAGCCTTGAAATGATGCTTCTGCTCAGCTGAGATAAGAGCTTGCACTAAACCATTCATTGCACTGTGAGCAATCCAAGAAACGAACCATACAACACAAAAGGATACGGTGTCAAGGGATGTTCCTACCCTCCGGATCACTGCTGTGGAAGAAGCCAGGCCGACAACTGGCGCGGATCAGATTAATAACCAGCTGACGATCAAGCAAGTAAAGTTACATGGGATAAGAAGCATAAAAAGACGGCTGAGTGATCATGGCGTAACTTGAGTCGTGACTCTTACGCTCCGACTGAGATCGAATGAATCATCTAGATAGCCCTCCACGTACAAATCCAGAGGTCGCTTCTGTGCCTAGAACGATACACCAATATCAGAGCAACACTATCAAGGCGAAATACTACAAACCAAATACAACGTTGTGAACCTGGCGTTGGTGCTATCAAGTTTGTTACGCCTTTGTTTGTTCGTGACTCACTTTGTCCAGCACATCGGCATCCACACCAAGCTGTAATAGCTTATTCACCATTCTCTCGTGGCCATCCCGACAAGCCAGATGCAGAGCTGTCCTGTTCTCCTACCGGTTGACTAATAACAATCAAGCGAGCGCAAGAAAGATGCAAAAGCGAGTTGATGAGACAAGAACACGCACAGCACGAGAAAGGAAGGGCACAACAAGCAAAAAGCGCTGACACAAGCCCGCAAGCACAGATTTCTTCACAATGTTATAATGAAGCAGGAGAGACAGCGACAGAGATAGAGACAAAGACAGAGGCAAAGATGGGGACAACGACGGCGGCAGGGACAGCGAAACAGACAGCAAAACAGACAGAGTAGCAAAGAGGGTTTACACCGAGAGGGGCGGAACTGACATTGTCTTTGGCCTCTAGATCAACATCGTGCCGCAACAGGATTTTCATCACGCTGACATGACCATTTCGGCAAGCAAAGTGTAGAGGCGTCATGGCAATCTGTCGGTAGCCATCATCACCACCAACACCCGTAGTTGCGTCATCGCATCCAGCAGTACCACAAGGGGTCGCACATGTCCGATTGCCCGTGGGTGGAAAGGAGCTCACACCCACACAAATCAGAGAAAGGGGTCGTGTCGATTGCAGGAGACGGTCATACTGACGTTGTTTTTGACTTTTGCATCGACACCGTGCGCCAACACCATCTCCACCGCCTCTACTCGACCGTTTCTACAGGCAGCGTGCAGTGGCGTGGCGCCGTCCTGCGGATTGATCTACCACCACAAGCGTGTCATGAATACATGCTCACAAAACTATTGTCAATCGATCAGCTTGTGGTACAGGTTCCACCACGGGTGGGAAAAGGCGGTAACTGAAAGAACACAACACTGACATTGTCCCTGGCTTGGGCATCAGCGTCATGCTTTAGCAGGATTTCTATCGCCTGCTCCTTATTCCGATGGCAGGCAATGTGCAGTGGTGTGTGGCCCACCTAAGGGTTGATTCATCACCACACGCAGCGTTGCATATGAACAGGTATCGGTTGAATGAAGAGCAGATCGCCATCAAAGAGGAGCATTGGAAAGGAAATTGAGAGGACTGACGACGTCCTTGGCTTCAATCTCAGCGTCATGCTTCAACAAGATCTTCGCTATCTCCACATGTCCCCAAAAGGCGGCCCAGGTCAGCGGTGTGTCGGCATTCTGCGGGTTGATTTGCGAACGCCACACGCAAAAGGCAACGACCGTTGAAGTGCAATGACATTGGAGCCCCGTGATGTTCATGCTCAAGTGCACGTTTACATGTCCCAAGTGACGTTGACGATAAAAAGGACTTACCAGCTCAGTTGCGACGTTGGCGGCGGATCGGATGCGTTGTGCATCCCAACTGTTCAAGAGTTGCAACGCCACTTGTGGATCTTGTTCGCTGCAACCCCAAACGAGCTGTTCGCCGTCCGAACGCATGATGACGATTTGCTTTTTTTTTTTTGGAAAGGCTGGAAGAATTCTAATCGCATGAACCCCCTCCAAATACAACTTGCTGAGATCCAGTGCTGGCAGGCAGTCATGCCGGCGTCAAAATGGCAGCCAGTGAAGTCAGCTTCTTGCCTCCCCACGATACGCTGAGACAGGATGGGCTCGGCTCACCTTTACCTACCAGTTGCAAAGAGTTGCCTGCTTGCTTATCCAGCGCACCACATCGACCGCCGCTGTTCCGGGACGAGATCGTCTGTGGCGTGCACACAGACGCACACACACGGCACACACGCACAGAAAGCGTGTTGGCGGCCCAAAGCTTGATCGCGCGCGTTCCCATGTGGCCAGAGGCCACTGGCTAAGGAGGCACCACATCATGCGCAATCAATAATGAGCAACCCCGTACCAAAACAGCCAGCCCGCGAGCTCGACGCGTCAATCAACCAGATGTTGTGAACGACCGTCGGGTCGCAGGCAAAGCATTCATCCGGCATGCGGCAAGTGTGGTCTGCCTTTAGATGTGGCAGTGGAAACATGCAGAATCCCGCTGGAGCGGCTTGAATCTCGAGCACCAACGCCCGCGCTAGCATGCGCTCACCCTAGTTTTGCAAATGCAGAAGAAAAAAAAAAAAATTTACATGTTTGAAGACGACAGTCAATTTCAAGAGTCACTACATGTAGTAATATTATTTAATTTACAGTCACACATGGATGGCTTTCTGCTAGGTAGAACGTGACACTGCGGTTTTCTTTGCTAGCTGCCCACAACTTGGCACGCACTCATCAAGCACTAAGGCCTGTGGCTGCCCATCCTTAGATCTCATAGGTGCACCTCCTGCGCCGACAAAATATTCGGCCCCTTGCCGGCTCGGCGCGCGCCTCCATGTGCGACGAGGCGGTTTGCCTGGAACGGGATCAGAGACAAGCGTCTTTTGCATGGTCACGGCGGAGCCAGCGCAGTACTTGGGTATGTGAATAGAGAGGGCGATGATGCTTTTGTTGTCCTCTGATGGCGGATATTCGACCTCCACATTCATTGTGCCTCTATAATATCATTTGTCTGACGAGTCTGCAAAATGTGACGAGGTCGCTCAATTTCTTTTGACATCCAATGGTAACATCCGTGAGTAGCATGACAAGAGAAAGCATCGATTCTATCAACGAGGCGCGCAAAAAGGAAAGATAGCACACAACAGGGTCTCGGACGGGTGACCCGCACACTATTTGGCACACGGCCACAGGTGTGACGGCGTCTGGTATCAGGCGCATCAGACCTCTACTTCTGTATCAGGCGCATCAGACCTCCACTTCTGGATTCAAGGGCAGGTACTTGACGTCCCGCGCAGCTCGGGCATTGACGTTCGCAGCGACCTGCCGCTTGCGGCGTTGTAACAGGAAAACAAGTGCAAATACGGCCACACCAGCACTCATTACACCCGCAAAAATGAGGCCAAGATAGATTCCCTCGCGATGGGCGGTCCAAGTCTCAGAGAAGTGGGCTTGAGGAATGGGTAGCTGCTCATCCACCGTTGGTCGACTCGTTGTGATAAGAGGATCAACGGCCCAGTTTCCACACATATTTTCCGTCACACCGAGCTGGATATCATGTGACGGCGAGAAGGATGCAGTCCCGTTCCATCCAGCAATACAGCTGTGTGCGGTTGCCCAGTTGACACCAAAAACACCACCGATGGCAGACTCGGACCAGTAGGCTGCCGTGGCATTGAAAATCAAAGTCGGTTGGTTCTTCAAGCGGTCGTGCTTGCTCGCAAGCAAAAAAGAGCCGCTGCGACCAGCAACACCCAAAGTACCACGCGCTGTCACTTCCGTCGAGGCCCAGTACGCCACAGCTGAGCCTGAGATATCGTCTTCCTGGATCTTGACCGTCAAGCCAAATGGGGTTCCGCTGGCCTGCCCCACCGCATGCGTGTCCAATTGTCCCTGAGAAAGATCAAAGTTGCCGGTGCCAGTCATGTTGACAAAGTCCTCATCCAAATGCAAAGCTACGCTCGCGCTCACTCGTTGGATGGAAGCGCTTGTTGTGTAGCTGGCATTGAGTGACGCGTTGTAGACGTGCTGATGTGCATCAACGAGTCTGCAGCTGGCCGTCATGGCTTCAAGCTCGCGGACATCGTAGTCGAGAACACCCGTCCACAAGGGCAAAGGCAGTGCCAGCGGAGCGCGACCGGGGCCTGCTGGACCAAGAGCGCGGTTGACAAACGGCGCGATGGGCCGCAAGTTAGGCTCCGTGACGTGAAGGTCGGCGTGACCTGTTTGCCAGTCCTTTGCGCACTGCAGCTCAGACTCCCACTGCACGTCATTCCAACGTCCACTGCAAACTATCTGAGGCAGCTCCATGTTTTCTGCATATGTCAAGACCGTGTGTAATACGTCAGTGTTGACCCAAGTAGTGCCAAGCAGCTCTGCATATGGTTCTTCTCCGTTAAATTGCAGATTCCACAGCGCCTTGACGTCGGCGTCAGCAACGCTACTGCCCACGGAAGTGTTCAGCTGCCACGTTCCATCCATGAATTCGGAGCAATTCACGTCCACGCTGATCAGGGCGGCCTCTTGCTTGTCATCCCAATACAGCTCCAGGGCAACGACCTCCCGCCATGACTGCTCGATTTCAGAAGAAATAAGTGGCGTGGACAAGCCGGCACACTGCACAACATCAACAAAGGACTGGCAAAACCGGTGGTCCAACCGGCCAGAAAAGAGGTTGGCAGCAACGAGGCCATTAGCCACGCGAACGGCGTCGGCCTCAATGAGCGCCCGCTCAAAGCCCGGGGTCAGAGATGCTGTAGCGGTAGCGTTAACGTCGCCCACTTGAAATGTACCTGAGACGGTCCAATCGTTGTTGACGGCAATACTCAGACGACCACCTTCGGTGGCGGTTGCCACCGAAGCATTGCACAATACATGTTGGTTTTCTGGGTTCCAGAGCATGATCAAGTCCGAAGAAAGGTCATCAGCCACCAGGTGATTTGATGTGTTGAGTGCCGCATCGAAAGATGAGTTGAAGTGCGTTGCTAGTGTTAGCTTGTTCTGGCGCTGATTCCAGTCCAGCTGGATGTTGTTGGTGAGCGCGCTGGAGGATTGGTTGCCCAGAAATACCCTGTGCCACAGCGCGTCCAGCACCACGTCCAGTAGGCGTGTGTTTATGCGGGCGTCGGGGTCTGGGTAGTCAAGGGTAGCCACTCGCACGGCGCCGGCATACTGGCGTCGGTGACCGCCTTCGGCCATTACCAAGGACGCATTATTCACCAACAAACGCCAGGCATCGACCCGTGCCAGGGCATCCCAAGATGCAAACGTAAGGTCAGGAAGATTGAATGAGGTCGCCGTGTGGTTCACGTAAAAGTCGACGCTATGACTGCCGGTGGCTGGGCCGGCCATTGTGATGCCCAACTGGCCTGCCAGCTGATCACGTGACTCGTCCTTCCAAAAACCCGTGGCTCGTGCACCCAATGAATTGCGATGGTCGTCCCACGAAATGTTGACGTTCATGGTCCCAGCATTGTTGGTGCCGCTCGGGTCGGTAGGCGCAAACTGGGCATTCCAAAAGTTCGCGGTATCAGCGTAGGAAAGCACACCGAAGGCATACGAAGCATCTGGTCGCCCCGTGACGCTTGGGTGATTCAGTCGCGTCAGGTTGAAGCGTAAAGTGCCCGAGGCACAGCCGGAGGCAAGCTGCATACTGCTATTTAACTGCATGTCATTCCAGAGGATGAGGGCATTGGCTGAAGGGGTGGCGTTTGGTACCACTACGAGGCTGGCGTTGGCGTTGTGCACACCCAGCGAGCCTCCACTTGTCCTGAAGTTGACATCCAGTGTGCCTTTGGAAGTTGTGTCATGGGTCCACGGCTCCATGCCATTGACGTTTAGCCACGCTTGTTCTTGATGGTCATTCCATGAAACATTGGCCAGGATGCGTGCAACGTCTTGCTGTGGATTTTGTTGCAGGTGATAAGTCGCATGCGTGTCCCAAACGTCACCAGGCGTTTTTCGTGTGGCATTGGCGGTGAGCGTCAGGTGGCGACCCTTGTCATGCAGCGACAGGTCGACAAGCGTGACAATGTCGTCCCAAGTCACATTGGTCCAACCGGCCTGATTAGTCTGACTCCATGTCAAGTTGCTGTGGGTCACGAGGTGGTGATTGTTGGTCTTGACGTCTGTGGTTGCAGAAGCACTATACAAGGGGGCAGAAGCGTCCACGATGGCGCTGCTCGTTGCCATGAAGGTGGGTTTGGCTTGGGCTGAAGTACAAACATGTACGTTTGATGTGAGCGAGATGGCCGCTAGTTCTTGAAAGTTGCACGCCAAGCTTGCGCGACTGGTGCTTGGGGATTCACTCCACTGGCTGGTAAAGACTTGCAAGGTGGGCGTGTTGGCAAACCGTAAGGCGACATTGTGTACAGCGGTGGCACCTGGGGCTTCAACGATAACGTTCATTGGCCAGTCGATGACATCGACGTTGACAAGGGACGAAAAGTTGGCCAGCCAACCCTGGCCGGAATAGTTGCCCCAAAATAGGTAATAATCCGACAAGAAGCCGGGGTCGTCATCGGCTACAATATCGTCGTCATCGGAACCAATTGAGTCATCGTCCGCAGGAGCATGGCCGCTTGGAGCAGCACCAACTGATACAGCATAATCATTCAACTTGGCTTCACCATAGTAGGAGGCGCGTGCCTCGTCGACACGCAAGGCCAACAACGCCGAGTGCACTGGGTCAATGTAGGTCACTGAGGCGTTGATGGACACATATGATGGGGCGGTGGCATCGTCATCCTCCACGCTCGCATCATCATTGTCATCATCGACGGCAAACAGGTGGATATTGTGACCGTCAGATGCAAAGAACGCTTGCAGGCCAAAAGGCTGGTTGGATCCAGTCGAATCGACCTTCAACTCGAGCGCGGTGGAGTTGAGGCGAGCCGTTGTGACGAGACGCACATGTTCTTCCGGTAAGCTGGCAGTTAAATTCATGAAGCGGTCGCCCGTGCTGGGGTTTGAGCGGCCTTGAAAAATAAGATCAACGACATGGGTGATGTTCAGGAGACAGATAGCCGAATCCGAGTCAGGCTGCGTCACCAAAGCATGAAGCACTGGATCTCCGGCATGTGTGATATTGAGTGTCAAGTCTTTGACTGAGTCGGCTGGAAAGTCACCGCTCAGAAGGAGCTGCACAGCGTCAGCGTTGTTGCTGCCAAGGGAGTGGTAGGTGATTTGCGCTTCAAGGCGCTGCGTATCCGCAGCGATGTCAAAAAGGCGACCGCCAGCGCTAATCTCAAAGGGGTTGGCTACGAAGGGGCCACTGTTGGTCAGAGTCAGATGGACCTTGCTTTCGTTGTCCTTGTACGTGACGACAAATGTGGTGTTGAGCAGCTTTTCATTGTCGGAGAAACGCAAGCTGACAAGGCCGGGCAAGCGCTCGAAGGCCACGTCGGGCCAAAACACGCCCCCAACGGCGTCGAAGAACACACGGTCGTCCCACTTGACAAAGGCCTCGCCACCGTACAAGCGCATGGATGCGTCTTGGGGGGCCGCACGGTTCCACACGGCGCATGCGCGTTGCGTGAAGCGAGTGTCAAAGGAAACGTCAAGACAGTCGGCTGTGAGGCTCGACTGCACGTCACTGGGCTGGACAGCGTTGATCCCAGCTGGGGTGCTGGCCCAGAACTGCCTCAAGTCGGTGTCGGCAAGTACAAAGGGAGTTGCTTTTGAGGGCTGGGCGTTCAAGACTTGTTGGCGGAAAGGCACCAGGGCTGGGGGAAGTGTCACGGTGATGGCGTGATCAAGGCTGAGAAAGCGGCCCCAAAACGAAATACGGCTGGTCTCATCCCACGAGGTGGTGCGCAAGGCGAGGGTGAGGTTTGCATAGAGATTTTGAGCCAGTTGCAGAAATTGATCGGTCTGGGCCAAGGCTTCTTGGCAATTGTTGTTGGCGCATCGCACATCCACCAAGGCCGAGGCGCAAATATCAAGGCCTTGCGGGGCCAGCAAGTTGCCGTGCAGACCTTGGAGCGCAACGTCGGACACGTTCAGGGGCTGATCAGAGGCGTCATGGGCAGAAAGTACAAAACCGGTGGCGGGCAGATGCACCAAAAAGTTGGTGAGAAGGGATTTGAGCAGTGGTGCGGCCTGGATGCGGATGGGCATGGTACATGTAGCAGTGCTCGGGAAGGACGTCACGACGAGCACCTCACCCACGGCCATGGGGTCGCCAGTCCGTGCGCCCAAGCCTCGCAGGCTGTCGGGCAAACTGGCATTGAGATGGCGCATGCTGTCGGCCATGACCTGAAGCGTAGCAAGGTCACTCGCAGGTTCATCTGGCTCGGTGTGCGTGGGATTTGGCTTGCGTGCCTGGTCCTTGGCGCTGATGTCAAAGGTGCCGAGGCTCCAGTTGGCAGAGATGGGAAAGGCGTGCCAGACGCGGAGAGTTATGTCAGCGCTGCATGTGATCGTGCAGCGATCATAGGATCCCAGAATGAGCTTGGCGGCGACGGCGCCAGGTTCATCCTGCTGGAACGCAAGCTGAACGTCGTAGCGATGACCTTCAAACACGTCCAACAGGGGCGAGGAGAGGGAGAGACGGCCGAGGTCCAGTGTCTGATTGGTGCTGGTATTTGTGGCCAAGGAACTGCAGGCCAATGCGTGAATGTCGGCACTGTGCAGAGCCGAGATCCGTGGAATATCCAGGGTGATGTTTACGCCCAGGTCGCGTCCAGTGGCATCGATCCGAATATCGTGAGCATCAAAGGCTTGCACGGCCTCGGTGGCCGAGTGTCGCACGAGCAGAACGGAGCCCAGCGTCGCGGCAACGGCCGCGGTAAGTGCAACCAAAGCGATCTTCAACGTCCAGGCACTAGACCACGAGACGAGCACGCACAAGGCAAGCACGAGGTGAGGTCTGACCGTCCTTTGGTTGTTGTGTTTTTTTTTTTTTTTTTTTTTTGCTTTTTTTTTGCTTCGTTTTGTTGTTGCGACAACGAATAGGCCATGCACATCTTAATGACACGAACCGTGATAGCGATCGCCGGCTGCAAGAAGTGTTTGCAAGTCCAACAGTCGCATCGTCCCTCGCCGCTTCATCGGCCGCAAGCAGCGGCAGACCGTCTGCCCGCGCATCGGGCGTCTCTATTCAAAGCGCGGCAAGCAGCCGATCGTGAGCCGAAGGCCAGTCCGCCTGGCGCGCCATTCCCAAACCCAAACCCCAGAAAATTGACACATACCGTCAACATCCATCATCCGCGAACCGTACGCGTAATTATCGGCGCTCTGACCAAACCACTCGCGCCCTTCCCCGCTCGCCTCCTCCGATCGCCCTCCACCAAGCGACGACTTGTCTCAATCTGACTGACTCTGTGCCAACTCTCTGTGTGTGTGTGTGTGTGTGTGTGTGTGTGTGTGTGTGTGTGTGTGTGTGTGTGTGTGTGTGTGTGTGTGTGTGTGTGTGTGTGTGAAGTTATAGGCGACCCTAGCATGGGGATGCGCGTGCCAAATTTACCCACGCTTGCTTACTTACGTGTGTGTGAATGTCATCCTTTTTTCTTCTTCCTTTGGCTTTGCTGATGTTTGATTTCTTCTGATTTCGAGTTCAACTCGGCAGGCACTGGCATGATTGTGGCTTGCATGGGAGCGCAGCCAAAATGCTGAGTTTGAGTTGAGATATTGATTTTTGTTTTTAAAAAAAAATAGGAGAGATGTATGTACGAGTGGCATATCTGCCAGAAACGGCCGGATCGGAACGGCATCAAGGCTTAGAAAAAGCCGAGAGCAGACTTGCTGTACGAAACAAGCAGGTTCTTGGTCTGGCGGTAGTGGTCAAGGGCAACCTTGTGCGTCTCACGGCCGATACCGCTGCGCTTGTAACCTACGCGCATTCAACAAAGGGTGAGAAACAAGGAGTTGACGAGAGAAAAAATAAAAATAAAAAAAATAAAAAATAAAAAATTAGAGTACAAAAGTGTCGTGAAGTGTTGCGAACGCAAGGGCCTTACCGCCAAAGGCAGCATGCGCGGGGTAAGCATGGTAGTTGTTGACCCAGACACGACCGGCGTGGATGCCACGGGGCACGAGGAAGGCCTCATGGGCATCGCGGGTGAAAACACCGGCGCCAAGGCCAAACTCCGTGTCATTGGCAATTTCAATGGCCTCCTCGGGCGTCTTGAAGGTGCACAGGCTGGCCACCGGGCCAAAGATTTCCTCCTATAGAGGAAAAGCACGCAGTCCAGATATGAGAGTGAGCGTAGAAAACCCCCAAGCCAACGACGGCACCTGCAAAGCCACGATATGAGGCATGCAAATGGGCCAATCGGACCTGGAAGACGCGCATCTTGTTGTTGCCGCGGAAAACGGTTGGCTCAATGTAAAAGCCGCCCTCGATGACCTTGGCCACATTGCCACCGGTCAGAACCTCGGCGCCCTCCTCACGACCAATCTGCAGGTACTTTTGAATCTTATCATACTGCTCCAGACTGGCCTGGGCACCAACTTGGGTGTCCATATCCAGGGGGTTGCCAATCTGCGTGGCGTAACGCGGCAAGCGAAAAGCAAAACAGGAGAGATTGTGAAAACAAAAGCGCATGCTGGCCGAGGCTGCCTGAGGCTTGTGACAAAAAGAAGTGTTGCTTTCGGTCGTGACGCTCGTACCTTCATGCGGGAAATGCGTTCCTTGAGCTTCTCCTGGAAGGCATCGGCAATGCTTTCCTGAACCAGGATGCGCGAGGGGCAGGTGCAGACCTCGCCTTGGTTGAAGGCGAAGAGTGCAGCACCCTCAAGGCACTTGTCAAGAAACTCGTCGTCGGCATCCATGACGCTCTCGAAGAAGACATTGGGCGACTTGCCACCCAGCTCCAGCGTGACGGGAATAATGTTGTTGGTGGCTGTCATGTTACAACAGGACGGGCGGTGAGAAGTCGATGCACTTCGAGAGAGGTATACAGGAATGCGGGTATACCGGTTCAAATGGATTCAAAGCGGCTGCCACGTACCAGCCATCATAATTTTTTGACCGGTGGTGGTCTCGCCGGTAAAGGCAATCTTGGCGATGCGGCTGCTACCAGCCAGGGCTGCGCCGGCCTCGGGACCAAAGCCATGGACAATGTTGACAACACCCTTGGGCAAGATGTCAGCAATCAGCTCCATCATCTCGCAGATGGAGACGGGTGTCTGCTCTGCGGGCTTCATGACCACGCAGTTACCCGCCGCCAGGGCTGGGGCGAGCTTCCAGGCAGCCATAAGCTAAAAAGTGATTTTGACGGCCAAGTCATTTGCGGGCGGTGAGCTGGGGGAGAGTAGCAAGCTTGTTACGATGAATGCTTCAAGAGGGGAAGGCAAAAGCATACCGCGGGAAAGTTCCAGGGAATGATCTGGCCCACAACGCCGAGGGGCTCGTGGATGTGCATGGCAACGGTGTAAGGGTCAATCTCGGCAATCGCACCTGAGAAGATTCATCATTGATATCGAGTCAGAGAGAGAAAAAGAGCAATCAGTGAAGTCGGGTACCCCGTTGGCTGCGCGCACTTGAGCTGGGTTGGAAAGATGCTTACCCTCATCAGCACGAAGGCAGCCAGCAAAGTAGCGAAAGTGGTCGACAACGAGGGGAATGTCGGCGGCTGCGGCCAAAACAGGGCAGTAGCAGTGAGATGGACGTGTGGACATACTGGCATGGGGCACTCGCGCGAGCAGCAAACGGCTCTCCGACATACCCGTGGTCTCGCGGATGGGCTTGCCGTTGTCAATGGTCTGGAGGCAGGGGCCGGCAGTCGGTAAGGAATGAGTGCCGATGGGTTTGTTTGAGGGGCATGCCTCGCCAGGTTGACGATGACTGATGGAGCATGCCTGTAAAGCGGTAGCCCACCTCGAGGAGCGCCAGGCGGTCAATGTTCTTCTCGAGAGCGTCGGCAATCTTGAGGAGCATGTTGGAGCGCTCGGCCACCGAGGTCTTGCCCCAGGCCGGGAAGGCGGCATGGGCAGCATCGAGGGCAAGGTCAACATCGTTGGCCTTGGAGCGGGGTGCCTGGCAGACAACCTCGCCATTGATGGGCGAGACGTTGTCGAAATATTCGCCTGTTACCACCACCGCAAACGCATTGCCGTGTGAGGACCGGGCACGTTGCCTATTGACACTAGAGTGGTGTTGGGTTCGCACCGTCCAGGGGGGCAACAAATTCGCCGTTGATAAAGTTGCCGTAGCGCTCCTTCATGCCCGACTTTTCGCGCAGGGCCTGGGCGCTCAGGGCGCGAGTGGCCATGAGGGTTGGGGCAGCCGCCATGCGGCGCGTTGCCGTGATGATGGCGTTCAGGGCCATGGTGTGGATGAGGACAAGTCGATTACAGGACCAAGAAGCAGAACCAGGAGGAAAGGTGTTCTCTACAAGGAAACGAGGCAGAGACATCAGGAATGAGAGGGGTGGGGGCGTAGCGTAAGTGATGTTGCATCGGTGTCTCTAGTGGGTGGTGATGAGTGGAACACCAAAACAAGGGTTGGTCATCGCAAAGCTTGTAGTCGAATGGAAGACGGTGGCCCAGTCATGAAATGAAGACGGTTGTCAAGCTTGTTTTGAACCCAAAGCCGTGGTACCAAACGCCATTTCAAACGATACAAGTGGGAAGCGGGTCAACACCAGCTGCCATTTCCAACCACAAGACAACAGAGAGGTTGGAAAAAAAAACATCAACCATCAATCATCAACCATCGTCCATCGTCCATCGTCCGTCGCCATTGCCATTGCCATCGTCCATCGCCACCCATCGAAGACCGTGTGCGATTGTGTAGGGAGGTGGCCAACATCAACGCATTGCGGTTCACAAGTACACAACGCTCCACGACCAGACGACTGCCAACCACCCCCCACCAAATTCACCGCTTTCCCTTTATGGAAAAAAAAAAAAAAAAAAAAAAAAACAGTGCAGCCTCACTGGCATCAAGCCGTCGTGATGGCGTAGAAGCCATTCACCACCAGTGCCACGATCAACGCCAACGGCATTGGCAACAAAACAGCAGCGGCGCCAGTGGCTTACCCGAGGAACAACGGCAGGCACCACGACACGACCAGTGAACCAAAAATGAGAAAAAAAAACAAGCCCACACATCAACATGGACAACATCACCCTAATACTTCATTAACCATAACATATGCGTCAATAACTAACACTGTTATTGTATAACAATCTACGAAAACCTTGTATATCGATTCACAAGACTTGTAAACAATCGGCATGGTGGTGGTGTCTCCAAAACCCCACCTAATGGAAGGGCGTGTTGCCATTGTTGTCATTACCTTTTTGCATTTGAATATACACAAGTTGAATCGTGTATCACAGTACAAGTATTGATATATTGGTTTAATGCAGTTCTGTAGGTGGATAGTACCTTACTTTTCGTCGTAGTATCTCCACTTATCGTAGTATAATTCTATATAATTGATGCCAACTTCAAAGTTGATGTCGCGTTTTGCTTACGGTGGTGTGTGTTTTCTTTTTTAAAAATGGTGTTTACCTCTCGCGCGTGCTTGGCGCTTCCAACCGTTTGACTGGCCGGCTCGGCTGATGATGATCCAGTCCGCCGGTCTGGACGAGACATACTCTCCAACACACGCGACACCTCTGAGGCAGTGCTACACTGTTGTTTATCCCCACTGGGTCGACATGGTGTGGAATATGCTCGACTTGGTTGCGACAGGTCGCTGCCGTTTGTGAAGCCAGAGACCATGTTTTTTGTGCAGTTCACACACCAATGCTACGGAGATACGCTTGACTACGATCATCATGTGGTGTTCGCGCCCTTTCAACATCACGTCACCGTCGGTTTGGCAGCGGCCACTGGAGTTTCCAAGAACTCCACCCATCCAAACTTCTGCTCGCAGACGAAGCAGAACACGAATAGAGTGACGATATGTCAAAGTTACAAAGGTCACGAACGCAGTGAATGTTCAAACGACTATGAGAAAAAAATTCACAAGCATCAAGTTGTGTCAAGCAGCGGGACCAAGACAGCAGTGGGTGGCAAGACATGGATGGAGTGTTTGCTGCCAGGGCCCTCCAAACGCGCCCAGCAAACACTGGACAAGCACACATGACAAAAAGGGAGAAACCCCCGGCTCAAAGGGGCGAGACAAGCAAGACAAAAAACGGTGGCGGACCGGCCGCCGAGAGAGGCATGCCCTGGAAAAGTGGGGCGCCAAGCCACAGTCGTGGAAGTCAGACGGGAAAACGAAGAGAAAAAAAAAAAAAGAGCAGATACACGCCGCTTTATCCCATGCGGTTGTCAAACTCTTCTGAAGGCAATTGCTCCTAGCCAAGCCAAGAAGAAAATGACAAGGACATGTGGTGAGTTATGCAAGGCTTGTGGCAGATAGACCAGTTATCACAACGCCCTGAAGGCTCGGTCTGCCACAGGCTCTATCTACAGCCTCTCGAAAAAAGATGCGCTGTCGTACCCGAAGTGAGCTTTGCAAGTGGGCCACATCGTAGATGACATCGTGCAAGGCCTGCTTCAGAGCCTCCTTGGGGCTGTACTGTGCCGTGGTATGCACTCGCAGCAAAATGTAGTGCTCCAAAGGATGGGGCACCTTGTAGCCTATCCGACACAGTTAAGACAAGCGAACTCGATCGATGAGTACAGGCCCCCCATGCACCTGTTTTCGATATTCGCCGGCCCAAAGTGTCGCACAAACCTGCAAAAAGAACGCGGGGATCCTTGGCCAATTGACTACACGCATCAATGAAGCAGCACGGGTAGGTTAAGCAGCCCCAGGAAAAGACGTGACCAGTATCAAGTCCAAGGAAAAAAGATTACTGCCTGTCAAAATGAACGGGCAGACGGAGCGGGTAAGCCGCCAACACGCACCTGGCCAAAAGGTTGCCGACGGTGTGATCCTCGCGGTTCATGCGGAAAGTGCCCGCGTTGGGCACCTTTGAATCGGGCTCGTATGTAATTTTGGCTTCGCCATCCTCCAAGCGAAAGCTCTCTAAGGCAATTCAAGAACCATGATTGCCCACCAGCACCATCATGCCGTGAGCTACTTGCGACAAACACATAAAGGCTCCACCCCTTCAAGCTCGAAATTCGACACGCAAACGTGCAACGGTCGCCAAAAAGGCCTGCCTCCCACAGTGACAATGCAATGCAGACAAGTGCACGTACCAAAGGGATCGGGTGCGTTCATCGCAACGTTTTGCGGCGGCTCAAATGGACCTCCTCCCAACAAGAAAAAAAAGCAAAAAAAAAAAAAAAAGCAAAAGCAAATCCCGTGTAATCTAGCCACCACATGCACCCCATGCGCGCGCGCCGAGGGTGAGCTCGGCAATCGGAAACATCCATGACAATGCACCAAGTCAAACCAAGCCTGACGCAACGTAGCCAAAGATGGTCATGCATCTACCCCCCAATGCCCCGCGCCTCTTTTCGCCTCTCCGTCAACTTTCCGCACAATGGACCTCCCGAGCACGCTCGACATCAGAGACACCCCTCCCTGGCCATGCCCGGTCATCCGCACTCACCGTCACACACACACCGAGTAAACTGTTTGAAACAGATGTTTTTGTACCAGTTACATCTGTCCTTCACCAAATGTTACTCAAACTCGTTAACACAAGAATTACCACCAACAATCCTGTATCGCCTAACCCCAATTAATCATCGCATTTTAGTTCAAAACTTGCAAAAGGCCGAGATGAGCGGATTGAGCGAACAGCGCCTGGACAAGCTCGTGGGTCACTCGCTCCTCGCTGCGCTTCCCGCTGTGTGCCGCTTCTCTGCCCCCGGCTGCCGTTTCGCTGTTGGCATGCCCTGCCCGGTTGTGTGAGGGCGGTGGTGGTAGTTGGCGTGGGCTCTGTACCCTTTTTTTTTTGGCTGCTTTTATCCCATGCTTCATTTGTCTTTGTATTCTGACGGCAACGTGCAACACGTTCTCTTTTGTGTGGCGCGATAACGTGCGCGCAATGACATGTGTGTGGCGTACCTTGGCGAGTGGGCGACGCTGCGCGTGCTCTTGCCGTCCACATTGGCCGGCTATCGTTTCTCCCTGGTGTCGCGTCGTGTTTGGAACCTATTCTTTGCTCCTTCTTCTTCTCCTCTTTGTCTCTGCTGCGCGCTCTCCTGTCTTGTCGTGCTAAGCTCGAGCTTTGCTGTTGTGTCGCACTCGACGGGCCTTGCGGCGCGATTCTTAGATTTACCAACCGCTCACATGTGCCAAACCCCCCTCTTCCTTCATCACAGGATGTGGCGGCCTTGACGCCCCTGACCCCCGAGGTCATCAGCCGTCAGGCGACCATCAACATCGGTGCGTTTGTTGATCGATGCAATTCAACGCACCGGCACGGGCATGCACACACGCCCAGAGTGTCGCCATGATTTGCCCCCTGGCTTTGGAGCCTGCAGACACACCGACTCATGACTTGTTTGGCTGGGCATTGGGCGCGTGCTTGCCTGTTGTACACTTTGGTGTTGACCCACAGGTACCATTGGTCATGTGGCGCACGGCAAGTCCACCCTCGTCAAATCCATCTCGGGCGTGCAAACCGTCCGTTTCAAAAACGAACTCCGCCGTAACATTACCATCAAGCTCGGTTACGCCAATGCCAAGGTCCGCTCCCAGGCCCTCATCATAGATCTGCTTCACCGTCCTCTTGCTGCCCCCCCCCACCTCATCGTCGTTTCTTGGCCCTCTCTCTCGCAGATCTACAGATGCAACAAGTGCCCCAACCTGATGAAGTACAAGTACGTAGTCTTGCTCGCTTGTGCAAGGCAAAGACATCAAACATGGAGGCATCGTCACTGCCCGACTGTATACAACCTCTTGAAGCGGTCCTTGAACCGGCTCTGGTCGGGCGGTCGTCCTCATTGTATCGCTTTCTGTTATTAGATCCCTGGGCAGTGGTAACCCCGATGCGCCCAAGTGCAATGTTCCTGGCTGCGACGGAACGCTCGCGCTCAAGCGGTCAGTTCCGTCATATGTTTTCCTCCTTGTCGTGTCTGCCACGTTCTACCTGTCGACCTTATCGTGCCTCGTTTTCTCACTCTGTCGTCCCAACTTCCTTGTCCATCGCTCGCCTTATCACAGCCACGTGTCTTTTGTCGATTGCCCTGGTCACGATATCCTCATGGCTACCATGCTTAACGGCGCGGCTGTCATGGACGCCGCCTTGTTGCTGATTGGTATGTCTGGGCTCCAAAGACTTCAAGGGAAAAAAAAAGCATATTCAAAGTATTTGGCTCAATTTTTTATTTTTTTTGTGTGTGTGTGACGCGTCTGTCAGCCGGCAACGAATCCTGCCCTCAGCCCCAGACCTCGGAGCATTTGGCTGCCATTGAGATTATGAAGTTGAAGCACATTATCATTCTGCAGAACAAGATTGATCTCGTCAAGGAGGCACAAGCCAAGGAGCAGCACGGGCAGATTGTTGACTTTGTCAAGGGTGCGTGGTTGTTTTTTGTCTCTTGTTTTCATTGAGTGCTTGGATGTCCGGTTGTGTCTGGCGCTCACCGGCTGCCTGGATTGATGCCATGTCGTGTCCATAACAGGAACCATCGCCGAGAGCGCGCCCGTGGTCCCGATTTCCGCTCAGCTGCGTTACAACATTGAGGTCATCAACGAGTACATTTGCTCGCAGATCCCTGTGCCCAAGCGTGACTTTATCTCTCCCCCTCGTCTGATTGTGATCCGTTCTTTCGACGTCAACCGTCCCGGTTGCGAGGTTGATGATCTCAACGGCGGTGTTGCCGGTGGCAGTATCCTGCAAGGCGTGCTCAAGCGCGGTCAGGTCAGTGTCGAATCGGCAGCTTGTAGAGCCACTTTATTCTGCTCTTCCCCGCTCCTTTTTCTCTCGCTCTGAGCAGGGGCCTGCACTCATCACGAAGCACGTTGCCTTATTTTCTGTTGCTTGGGGTGAATCCAGGAGATTGAGGTGCGCCCAGGTATCGTGTCCAAGGATGACCAGGGCAAGCTCAAGTGCATGCCGATTCGCTCCGAGGTGTTGTCGCTCAAGGCCGAGAAGAACGAGCTCGAGTATGCCGTTCCCGGCGGTCTTATTGGTGTGGGTACTTTGATCGACCCCACCATCTGCCGTGCCGATCGTCTGGTCGGTCAGGTTCTGGGCGAGGTGGGCCAGCTGCCCCCCGTTTACACGGAGCTCGAAATCTCGTATTATCTGCTGCGTCGTCTTCTCGGTGTGCGTACCGAGGGTGACAAGAAGGCTGCCAAGGTCCAAAAGCTCAGCAAGAACGAGGTTCTCATGGTCAACATTGGTTCCCTTTCCACTGGTGGTCGCGTCCTGGCCGTCAAGGCTGATTTGGCCAAGATTGCTCTCACGCAGCCCGTCTGCACAGAGGTAGGGCTTGCCCGTGCTTATTAGTGGTTCACTTGGCTTCTGCGCCGATCTGTCGTACCAGCGAGGTGGCACGTTCTCATTCAACGAAACTGTTGCTTTTGTGTTTTGTTTTTCGTGTGTGAATCAGGATGGCGAGCGCATCGCTCTGAGCCGACGTGTCGAGAAGCACTGGCGCCTCATTGGCTGGGGTCAGATCAGGAAGGGCGTCAAGATTGCCCTTGACACGGACAACGAGTAAATACCAAACAGAACAAGAAGAAGAAGAAGAAGAAGCAACAGCCGCAGCAGCAATCAAGTTAACAAAAAGAAGAATCTGCTTTGATCCGTGAATGAGAGCACCAGGCTCTAGGGCACGACGTCTACCTTGTCTCGTGCCAGCCGCATGCCTCTGCAGCCATTGTGGCTCCCTCCTCGTGGGACGAGATCTAGTTCTTGAAGGAGGAGGGCCTGCCATCCAAGTCTCATCCCTCTGATCGTTCGCCTTTGCATCAATCCAACAACAAAAATCGGGCTCCCCTTTGCCTTTCGACCTTACACAGTCAAACCGGTCGCAGTCATAACTTAAAAAAAAAAATGCCAACACGACTTTTTGGCTTTTGAAACTGCACATGTGATTTTCTCTCTCTCTCTCTCTCTCTCTCTCTCTCTCTTCTCTCTCTCTCTCTCTCTCTCTCTCTCTCTCTCTCTCTCTCTCTCTTTGTGGCAACGCGCATTTGCCACGTCGCTCAGGAGATTCTTTCGAGTCGGGCACACTTACTGGCCCCTTGGCTTGCCTTGCTCGCTCGCTTCGTCACTGAAACACCCGTGGCAGGCTTGACCTCGCGTCGGCATCCTCAGGTGAGAACCTCGCTTGCTTGCCTGGTTGCTGCAACATGCCAGCGTTTCTGCTCTCCAGGCGTGAGCCATCGGCGGAGATGGCTTGCCGACCTTCTTGCTCTTTCGACTCTCTCGTTCCCAGTTGGCCTCCCAGTGCATAGCACGTCCTTACCTTGTGCACCTACGTTCTCTCATTGCATCTGCTCGCTGTTTGCGTGCCCGCTTTCTTTTGGCGCCCGCTTTCTTTTGGCGCGCCTGTCCACGCCCTCTTGCTTTCGCAGGCCACTTCCGGCTCCAGCCCGGCAAGATGGCGCTCAAATACAGCGTCAGCAACCCCAACGAGACATGGATTAACAGCAATGGCTTTATCCTCTTTTACTTCTTTGCCATCCTGGTCGTGCATTTGGTCCTCCTCAGCTTCCCCTTCCTCAGCACGGAGAGCGTCTGGACCCTCACCAACACCGTGCACAGCCTGGTCGGTTCACCGCAGTCCAGCCCTGAAATTCAATTTGCCCCCCTCTCTCCGACCTCGACCTGTGAACTCACCTCGACCCATCGCCTTGTTCTAGGTCAATTTCTTGCTGTTGCATTGGTACAAGGGTGCCCCCTTTGTGACCATGGACCAGGAATCGGATTCCAAGACCCAGTGGGAGCAGCTCACGGCCAACAATGAGCTCGACATTTACAAACGCTTCCTCATCGCGGCTCCCATCATTGTGTACGTCCCGCCACAATGTGACCTAACAGGCATTCTACCATGCTCTTTGCAGCTGCATCATGTCCCGCGCCTCTTCACTTGACTCATCCGTTTCCTTGATCGCCCCACCAGCTTCTTTATTGCCGTTGCCTACACTCACTACAACTCAGTGCACTTTCTCATCAACCTGGCTTTTCTGGCGTTGGCCGTCATCCCCAAGATTCCTGGCCTCTACGGCGTATGTTGCGTTTTCTTGCGTCTGCTCCATCTAGAGCCTTTTTGCCACTTTCTCCCCAATTTCTCCCCACTCGCTTGACACATGTCTGATCGTGCGTTTTGCAAACTCGTCGTAGGTTCGTCTGTTCGGCATCAATCGCTACTAGGCCTCTTGAACGCGCACCTCCCTCCACTTGACACTCGACTCGCCCCTGATTACAAAGGGCATCTCCACATCCATGCCCTCTGCTTGGCCCCGTCCAAACTGCCTGCGGCGGCACAGCTCTGGCCTGCCCCACGAGTGCGGGTGTTATTTTTGGCGGGTCCACATTTCCCGAGTAACAACTGAAATTCAGCACACTTTTTTGGTCGTTGTTTTGCAGTGATGTAGCAGTAATGTCCGTATCAATTCATCCCATAAAAAATCTTCAAAACTCGACCGACCGATCCAAACGGCGGCACGTGTCATGGCAACGCTTGCTTGATGAGCTGAATGACCTGGCTGTGATCCATGTCTTCACACGCCTGGCCATTGACACTCAGAATAGCATCGCCCATTCGCAAGCCGGCCCGAGCCGCCGGGCTGTCCGGCTCCACGTCCTGAATAAACACGGGCCTTTTGCCCAAAAGCGTCATGCCAAATCCAAAGGGTCCCAAGACTAAGCGCACGTTCCGCATGGTATACATGTCCCAAGCATCAGTCTCCGCCTCATCTGTAAACTCAATCTCCCAATCAGGCACGGGGGTAGGCGCATCGTCGACGACCGAGCTAGACGCTCGGCCCGCCGGCTCGCCCTCCAGCAGCAAGGGTGGCGGTGATCCCAGGGGACCTATGGTGCTGGCTTGACTTGAAGCTGGACCTACGAGACTGCTATGGCTGGTGCTGCGAATGACCAGATCCAGGGTGGCAGGGCGTGCGGCGAGACTGGCACCCTCACGCACGGCAGCCATCTGACGCTGTGCTATGAGGTCATCCTCGCGTTGGCGCCGCACCTGTAACAGGCGTGGCAGCACCATCTCGGCCCGGCTGCGCAGCTGAAAATCGATACGCAGTACAAAGCGCTCATCGTCCTGGACCCGATCACGCGGTGCATCTAGCCCAAAGCGGGCTTTGCTAGAAAGCGTTGGTCCAGACGAATTTGATGTGGCAGGTGACTCATACTCTACCGCCAGCAGAGAACGCTGCTTGCTGCCTTCCAAAGCTGGTTGGCCAGCAAACACCGCCACAGGTAATAAGGGAAACGGCAAAAGGTGTGTTGTAGTCGTTCAATGGTCCTGCCCATCCTCTCACAGTCTCTGTCGACACAAGTCAAAGCGTACCGGAGGCACGAAGGGAAGCTTCGCGCACGACCTCGTGCGGGATGAGCACGTGCTCGACGCCTGGACCGGCTGCGGGTAGCTGCGTTTCCCGGTCCAAGACCAGCAGTGCATGTGTCGTGATTAGCAGTCGAATGGGCCAGCTCCGTCCGGCGTCTCTGGGCGAGTGGAAGCAAAGGGATGAGCGCAAAAGCGTGAGTGATGGCAAATGCGCACAAAAACGGCAGGTGTCGAGCTTGAACAACGCCCAGTAGAAAAGGAACAAAAGAGTTGGTGCGACCAACCCAATCAAGGTGCCGAGCTCATCGAGAACCAAGCGCGTGTCGCTGGCCAGGAGCTCGCGAACAAGGACGTCTTCAACGCCAGCGGATAAGAGCGCTGTCTTCAGCTCTTCCCAGCGTTCGCTCAGCTCCGTCTCGCTGGCTTGAGCATTGACCTCCTTGGCAAAAGTATCCAAGAGGCTGATTGAAAGGCTCAACTGGCTGCGCTCTTGGTGGGCGTCCTCCGGAGTGTACCGAAGAATTTGAGTCAGCAGCGGGCCGTACTTGAGCAATCGTTGCATGCCCTTGAGAAGAAAGCTGGTAAGGTCAAACCCCCGTGCCTCCTCCACATGTTGCTCAGCCGCGCGCATGGCTGCCGCAAAGCCCTTGTGTTGGCGTCGAAGCTTTTCCACGAGCTTACACGCTGGACCCTGATTTGTACAGAATTGAACATAGGCTTGAAAACGTCGGTGCTTGAGCTATACAGGAGCGCAAATGTGCAAGCAATAAAGTGAGCCATGCTAGCTCTCCCAGCCATGAAGATTCTGGGGCCACGCACCATGTCGAGAAAGACCTCGCCCACGTTTTTGACCAATCCCTTTTTGCGCCGTGCAATGAGACGCTCGTGCAGGTCGGCTGTCGTTTGAGCCCACAGACGCACGCAATGAGTCGAGGATGGCGTGCACATCGGCATTGAAAAGCGTTTGTACCTCCAACAATAAACAAGTGCGTACACGATGCAATGCGCCAACATACCATTGACAGCAAGGAGTTCGTCGAGGTTGCTGAAGATCTTGGTGATCATCTGTTCCGACAATACCTTTTGATCCACCAGGGGTTGACGAAATAGCTAGAGCATAATACTGGAATGAGGGACCAACGGAGCCAGGGCGGCAAGCAGTGTAGGATCTCACGTTACGAATAATGACCAAATCTCGCAAGTAGTCTTGTTCGGTCTGTATGAGTTCTGTGCCCATGTGAGAAAAGGTGAGCGGGCGCTGAGACGCCAGAAGCTCGGACTGCTGGAATACACAGAAACAGGATGCACATTCGGCGCTCTTGTCGTACCATAAATCACTTTCTGGCGAGAAATTTCAAGATCAGAGAGACGTGCCAAGACCTTGGCGTCGACCGTGGTCTCCCATGTTCGTACGTTGGGTGCCGAGGTAATGGTGCCCGTGTCTAGCTACGTTCATGCCGGGCATGAGGTGAGGCCCACTGCTGCTGGGTGCTTGAGTTGAGGTAAATCCCCCCTCATCAGCACCACGGTTTTGCTAAAGCATGGCAGCAACATACGCGCTCGCGCTCAAGACTGGCACTAATTCCGTCGATGGTTGCCAGAGCTGGGGCCACGGTCACACGGCTGACGGTGCTGGCCGTGCTGTAGCGACTCTGCGAGCTCTGGACGCTACCCAAACTGCTCATGGAGGTGCTTCGCTACAGATGGCAAATCGTGTGGCAGCATCGTGTGGCAGCATTCTGAATGAGATAGGGCTGCAATCAACCTCGATAATGCACCAGGCGCCACCCCACACCACGGCCGTGTCCGACAAACCTGAGTGCCAAGCGTGGACGAGGACGAGCGCTTCCGCCATCGAAACATGTTGACGAACAACTCCAACAAGCGAGGTCGCACAAGTCACAGGTCCCCCAAGCCTTGACGGCCCAGCTTTCTGATCACCAAAGCGCTTTTATCAAACACCAGCTTCTCCTCCTGCCCACCATCACGCCGCCGATATCAGCTGCCAAACGGGCGGGCGACCTGATCTCTCTGCAAAAAAAAAAAAAAAAAAA